GGCTACAGTGTCGGGTGAGAAGTTGCAAAAATAGGTTATATTACGTCGATGAAAATCATGGGATTATTATAAATTTTCTTTCACTACTACCACTATACTAGTTCTAGAATGGAGTCATTTTTTTTAATATTAAAAATGAAAGAACTGAATTTAAAAGTTTTTTTATGTTCTGGTTCCCACGAAAAGGGATATTCTGTAATGTTCAGAGATCATCGTGAGAACCAAGGCAGACCAAGGCAAATAAGGTAGGAATTGGTGTTCTTCTTGAATTTCTGGAGGTTATATGCCTCGGGGTACATCTCCCTTGGTAATGTGTTCCAGAGCCTCGCTGTTCGTTGGATGAAAAAGTCTTTGGAAAGAGATGTTCTACAGGTCTCCAAAGTGACCACAAAGGGGTACGAAGTCTCAACTCGACGGGTTAATCTCGCGGGGACTGCCAAGGAAGGAACAATTGTTGATATTTCAGAAGAGCATCGTCCATGAAAATATCCATAAAATAGAGCCAGATCGCCAACTTCTCTACGGTGCTCCAATGAAGTGAGTGAGTTTGTGAGCGAGACATCACCCACGAGACGAATTGCCCTTTTTTGGACAGAATCCAACAGTTTCAAGGTATGTTTGGCTGCTGCACTCCAAATATGAAACAGTATTCCAGGGCAGGACGGATCTGTGCCTTATAGATCATAAGCAGCTGACTGGAAGTGAAATATCTCCTGGTCCGAAACAGAAAACCAAGTTTTTGAGATGCACTACTAGCAATTGATCGAACGTGATTTTCCCAAGAAAGGTTATTGCTGATAGTAATACCAAGCATCAAAATGGATGTCTTCAAAGGTATGGTTACTCCTGTCAAGATTATGTTGGGCACAGTGGATCGGCTTTTCTAGAGAAAAGGCATGCTCGTGTTTTGTTTGCATTGAAATCTACCAAGGTATTGGATCCCCATTCGAGAATTGTTGCCAAGTCCATATTTATGTTGTCAACATTTCTCCCTCGTTCGTTTCTGATTTGCCTGGCTGGTATTGGAGCCCTGGAAGAGAAGGCGGTATGGAGGGTACTATTATCTGCGAAGCTGGGTACTGGACATGAAGTTGCTTCCAACAAATAGTTGATATGGCGTAGAAATAGTGTTGGTGCTAGAATAATTGATCCTTGCGGAACACCATCATTTATGATAAGAGAGTCAGATGAAACTCCGTCGACCACTACATGGAGAGACCTGTTTGAGAGAAAACTAGCTAACAAAAAACATAGCTGGGGAGGCAAGCCATAAAATGGAAGTTTGGCGAGGAGTCCGTGGTGCCAGACTCCATCGAATGCCTTGGAGATATCAAGTGCCACGGCTAGGGTTTCACCATATTTTTCAATAGATTGCTGCCATATATGTGAGACGTTAGCGAGCAGGTCACCAGTTGATCTTTGATGACGGAAACCATATTGCCTATCGTTGATAATACCTGAATGTTCCAGGTATTTCATGAGCTCGATCTGAACAAACCAAACTGAGATGTTTATAATTCCTCGGTTGTGACCACTTTTCAATTGTTTGGTCAGACTAACTCTCGATATGAACAATTGAATGCGAATTCGGAACGTGGGTTTCATATCCTATAGAGATGGCGTGAACGATGGACGATTTCTTGGAAACTTTCATAATGCTTATGATTTTGAACTAGACTTTCAAGGATGTGATTTTCTTCTTTCGATACCCAAAGATTCCCGTTGATGATGCACGAATTCTATAATAGCTGAATAGAAGCATCTAGAGATATGACGCAAGAGACAAAATTCTCAAACACACTACATGTTTCGCTAACACAGTAGCTTCCTCAGGTGATATACTGGTACGGGCACAACAAATAATCCGTTCGGAAACATTTTGATCGTGATCTTGATTTGATCCGTTCATCGTGATTCGTCACGTTTTCGGCAAATTCATGACTTTGTTCAAATTTCGAATTGAAATATAAATTCTTATGAATGATAATTAATAAGAACATTTCAGTAGCTTTATAAGCATCAGGTATTGATATTATATTAGGTAGTTGAGTGGGTGGATTGTGCTTTCATCATGGACTGACCATGCGGCGATGTGTGAGGATTATTTGAAAATCCGAACATTTTCCTTTCATTTCATGTTACCAAAAGTGAGTAAATAAACTATTATTGAAGGATTTTCTTGATTTAGGACTTCGTGTCGTTCATGAATTCACCATTTAAAGTAGAAAATATAACGCACCGTTTTCAATTAAACAAAAAATTGTGAAAATGAAAATGTAACCTCAAATGAATGAGTCATGATACCTGTAAATTTGGTTTGAAGCTTCGGAAATTAAGCATGATTCTCCCAGGCCTCGCTATTTTTGCAAAGTAGGCGATATATGGAGAGATTTCGAAACTCCTTTCAATAAGAAGTGACAACTCCATTTGACTTTCTATACATCTATGTTATAAACCTTCGATGACAGATCTAGTTTCCTGTAACGAATATGATAACCGACATGCAGCCGATATTCTGGCAGATATCGGATATTGGCTCTGATATTGGTACGTGGGCAGCGAACGGCTTACATAGATTGTGATGGTTGAATTGTGGGTACACGTGGTCACGCGATATCTCCACTCGGATTAATTGGCGATCTTCGTGCTCTTTGAGTGACTGCGCTGTCTGGCGATCGTGGGAGGCGCCAAATCATTAGCCTCGGCTGAATTATTACGAACGATCGAATTGAAAGAGACTCCTACGGGATCGATTTCGCGCAATTTTGATGAATTTTATGAGGATTCATGAGAATTTGTGAGAATTCATGAGAATTTATAGAAAACATGCGAATTTATGAGTATTGATGAAAAATCCATTGATTTTTTATCAAAATTCATCGCAAGTTTATGTGTTATATAAAAACAATCAAGAGTAATGAGCTTATGAAATTTAAGGAGATCGAATGGTTATCGATTGGCTATTCGTGAATGAAATGAAATGATTTCATAAGATTCATAATATGCACCATGAAAATAAATAGATATGAACATATATATGTGCAATGTACATACATCAATTTGCGGAAAACTGGAACTAATATTTCATTGGATTGTGGGATTTTAAATGCTTCAAATTTGAAATATTGAAATTCTCGGAATTCGACTGTTCATCCAGAATTCAGAATAAATATTACCTAAAATAATTTGAAATTATATTCTATTGAAAAATATAGGTTTTCATTCAATTCATAAAAAGCATGAAAAATCCACGAAATGTTTCCGATAGGAATGTGTGAATTTGATAGACTTTGTAATATTTACGAATTTCAAGAAGTAAAAATTTGTATAATTTCATTAATCATACAACTTTTGAGGCATGTCAAGAAATTTTATGAGAGAAATTTTGAGGAATTTTGAAAACTTTCAAGAAATCGTTTCTTCTCTATCGATGGATTTCAAGATGTTTCTAATATAGTTTTGAAGAATTTCAAGATATTTGAGGTAATCGGCTTGAGAAAATTCAAGAAATATGGACAATTTTTATGAAATGGTCCAGAAATTTTAAAAGTATCCAAAAAATGAGTCTTTACGTATGCTATAAGCAGCGCCGGCGTGGCCAACTCGGTGACAGCGGCGTGGGCAGGGGTAACAGCAATGTGTCTAATTTGAGAAATTCGAGGAAATTTGGAAAAATCCGATTCATTTCAAGGCATATCATTGTTTTTAATTATATTCTACGTTACTTCACGTGATATTGACAAATTTCAAAAAATTTCACGTAAATTCAAAAAATTTCACGTTATATCAAGAAATTTTACGTATTTTCAAGGAATTTCAAAAAATTTCACGTAAACATGAGTAATGACGAGTAACCTCCTAGAAACCCCACTCATTGTTCCGCAGGTTATTATTATTGAATTTAATTAAATTTTACGTAATTTCAAATTATATTAGTAAATTTCAAAGAATTTCACGTGAATTTCAGTAAATTTCACGTAGTATCAAGAAATTTCACGTATTTATGGAAAATTTTCAAAAATTCCACACCCTCAAGCAACCATGCTCATTTTCCCGCAGGTTCCCGTTAAGCAGCCTTTACGTATGCTATAAGCAGCGCCGGCGTGGCCCACTCGGTGACAGCGGCGTGCGCCAGGGGTAACAGCTATGTGTCAATTTTTAGAAATTCGAGAAAATGTTGAAAAATGCAATTCATTTCAAGGCATATCATTGAACTCAATTATATTCCACGTACTTCCACGAGAAATTTAGATATTTCAATAAATTTCACATAAATTCAAGGAATGTTAAGAAATTCCACGTAATATCAAGAAAGTTCACGTATTTATGAGGAATTTTGGAAAATTTCACGTAATCATGAGAAATGACGTGTAACCTCAAGAAACCCCGCTCATTTTGCCGCAGGTTCCCGTGAAGCTGCCTTCACGTAAGCGCCATGGGCAACAGCTATGTGTCAATTTTGAGGAATTCGAGGCAATTTAGAAAAAATCGGTTCATTTCAAGGCATATCATTGTATTTGATTATATTCTACGTACTTGAAATTTAGAAATTTTAATAAATTTCACGTAAATTCAAGAAATTTCACGTATTTATGAAGAATTTTGAAAAATTTTACGTAATCATGAGAAATGACGTGTAACCTCAAGAAAACCCGCTCATTTTGCCGCAGGTTCCCGTGAAGTTGCCTTCACGTAAGCGCCAAGGGTAACGGCTATGTGTCAATTTTGATAAATTCGAGGAAATTTTGAAAAATTTGATCCATTTCAAGGCATACATTATATTCAATTATTTTCTACGTAATTTCAAGTAATATTAGGAAATTTCGAAACATTTCACGTAAATTTAAGAATTTCAAGAAATTTCACGTAATTTCAAGAAATTTCAAGAAATTTCACGTAATATCAAGAAATTTCACGTATTTATTAAAAAAATTCAAAAATTTCACGTAATTATGACAAATGACGAGTACCCTCAAGCAACCATGCTCATTTTTCCGCAGGTTCCCGTGAAGCAGCCTTCACGTACGCCATAAGCAGCGCCGGCGTGGCCTACTCGGTGACAGCGGCGTGCGCCAGGGGCAACATTTCGGCCTGCGGATGCGACCCGGGGCCGAAACCGAGGGAACCGACGCCGGCGGGGTGGAAGTGGGGCGGGTGCAGCGTCGACGTCAATTTCGGCGTGAGATTTTCGAGGAAGTTTCTCGACGTGCGGGAGTTGGAGGGGGACGAGAGGAGTCTGATGAATTTGCACAATAACAAGGCCGGACGGAAGGTAAGGATGGAGGATACTTTTCGATTGAATTTTATGAAATGAAATTTTATGAAATTGAATTTTATGAAATTTCATTGGATTCATGCAGGGTGTATCTAAATAACACTGAAAAAATTCAAGGGGTGATTTCTTCTGATATTCTAGCAAATAAAGTTCACACAGGATAAGTCGTGGAAACCATCCATTTTCTCAAAGTGGTCCAGAATTTTTCAAAGGAAAAATACAAAAAACCCAAAGTCGGTCGACCACAACAAATTTATTACATAAGAAGTGTAACTAGTTTCGGCCCTCGGCCATCATCAGACACATAATAATTATTGCTGCACATGGTGCTTTATTTTATGTGTCTGATGATGGCCGAGGGCCGAAACTAGTTACACTTCTTAAGTAATAAATTTGTTGTGGTCGACCGACTTTGGGTTTTTGTATTTTCCCTTTATTCAGTAGGAAGTATCAATTGTTTTTATTTATAACCCCCCTGTAAAAGCTTTTATGCACTAGCGGGCCGTAAAGTGCACTTTACCGCCCGGTTTTGCGGGCGTTAAGTCGCATTTTACCGCCCGCGGGCTCATTATGGCCCACGGGCCGTAAAGTGCACTTTACCGCCCGCTGTTCTCAGTCACCTTATATCCACGTATCAATTCATGAAAACCTATGATCATATTCCTAGATTCTAATATATCTAGCGGTATATCATAAACTTCTTCTTTATCCGATTCCATAGTCCCATGTCTCGCTATTATTATTATCACAATTTTACTTTTCAGTCAAAGAATGACAATTCAGCTCGTTCATTGGATGTATTGCTATAGACAACAACCATCAGATTGATTGACAACGTCAAAATGAGTTAGGTTTATATACTGGGTATGCATATTGTAAAATTCTGAAGAATGAATCTCTTCTAGAGCTGAAAGAGTTTTACTATTACGATAATCGCAATATTCGTAGGATAAATTTCATATGTAAATCATCCATGAACATTACGCTTCCCTTGATTACTGAATTAATACGTAACAAATTGAATTCGGGGGAATATTAGTTTATCGAAATCTATAGTCATTACTTATGAGTCAGAAAATAAACCACTAGTGCATAATAGTTATTTATGTATCAAGGGCGTAAAGTAGGCGTTTATGGCCTGTGGCGCTAGCCGAGGGCCATTACACGCTCAAGGCCATAAACGCATTTCACGCACGTGATACATACAAAATTTTATGCACTAGTGGTTTATTTTCTGACTCAAAAGTGATGACTATAGATTTCCATAAACTAATATTCCCCCGAATTTGATTTGTTGCGTATAAATTCAGTAATCAAGAGAAGCGTAATGTTCATGGATGATTTACATATGAGAATTATCGTACGAATATTGCAATTGTCGTAATAGTAAAACTCTTTGATCTCTAGAAAAGATTCATTCTTCAGAATTTTACAATATGCATACCCAGTATATATATATATACCTAACTAATTTTGACGTTGTCAATCAAGCTGATGGTTGTTGTCTATATCAATACATCCAATAAACGAGCTGAATTGTCATTCTTTGACTGAAAAGTAAAAATTAGTGATAATAATAATAGCGATAGATATGGAATCGGATAAAGAAGAAGTTTATGATATACCGCTGGATATATTAGAATTCAGGAAAATGATCATAAGTTTTTCATGAATTGATATGTGGATATAAGGTAACTGAGAACAGCGGGCGGTAAAGTGCACTTTACGGCCCGTGGGCCATAATGAGCCCGCGGGCGGTAAAGTGCGACTTAACGCCCGCAAAACCGGGCGGTAAAGTGCACTTTACGGCCCGCTAGTGCATAAAATTTTGTATGTATCTCGTGCGTGAAATGCGTTTATGGCCTTCAGCGTGTAATGGCCCTTGACTATCGCCATCGGGCTATTATTCACGCTACAGGCCATAAACGCCTACTTTACGCCCTTGATACATGAATAACTATTATGGTGCCAAGATTCAGTATGGTTAGAGACTGTTGAAGCCCCAAAATTCCAAGATGATTCTAATTGGGGTTATTGAGAAATCTTAATGGAAGTCTTGAAAACACGCCTATACATTAAAATTTGGAATCAAATAGAATTTTCATTGTTTCCTCAAAAATTAAGCTAGCTACAAAAATTACACAAAGGAAAAAAAAGTTGTTATTTCAATAGTTCAATCTAATAAAAATATGAAACTCAGAAAAACCGGTGGCTTACTATGATATTCACCATAAATATCGATAAATTTACCCACTGTGACGCCACTGGAAATATTATTTCGAATCTAATTGCACCAGAAGGAGCCTCATATTACTATCAACAGAACCACACCGTTTTATTGAAATTGATGAGAAGACAACTGAGTAATGAATAAAAAACGATTTTTCATGGAAATATTAATCCCCTGTATCTCGAAAACGAAGCAAGTTAAGACACATGTTTATATGAACTTTATTTCCTTAAATATTACATGAATCACTCCTTGAATTTTTTTGGTGTTATTTAGATATACAACCTGTATAATTCTATAAAATTTTAGAAACCATTGAATCATTATGAAATTTCCTGTAATTGAAGAAATTTAAGTGAACTTTATGAAATCTCAATGGATGGCATCATTTTTATGATGGACCATGCGCATTTATTGCCAAAAAGATACAGTACACAGTGTAGCTATTATGAGAAATTTCAAATATTCCAATACAGATTATATCTCTTTATACGAGTTTGAATTAGCCATTTCGAATTTTTTCAGAATTTCTAACAGAAAATTGAAAACATTCATTTTGAGACTTTAAAAAATTAATTTTGAAAAATTCTATTGAATTTCTCGAAATTTAATGAAACTTCATGACATTTCATGAGATGTCATTATGTTTATGACATATATTATCACCTATATATTATGCAATTTTGAGGAATTACAAAATCCAAAAAATTGTATGGAATTTTATGAGGAAATTAAATTTTATGAAATGTTGTAAAATATCGTAAAATTCTACGAAAAATTTTTCAAGATTTCACAAAAATTATAAAATTTCAAAGAAATTTTGACAAATCAATGAAAAGTCATTATTGATTTTCATAAAATGTCATCAGTTCCTATTATATAGAAATATTGAAATATTCCTATTCTAATATCCAATTATAATAGTTTCATTGAAATTCCATGGAATTGAATCTATCTAATTTCACATTTTTATGAAATCCTTAAATTTCATTGATTTTTTTTACGAAAAAATCAAATTGTTTGGCAATTCTATGCGATTTTATGAAATGTTTCAAGACTTCACGAAATATTATAAAATTTCATTTCACGAATGATGTGTTACGAGATAATTTTGACAATCCATGTAATTTTATTAAGTTTTATAAAATGTAGAAATTTCGAAAAATATCTCAGAATTTTATGGGATTTTATGCAATCATTCAAACTATAAAATTTCATGGCATCAGTTAATTCTGATTGAAGATAATCATGAATCATCCCATGAAGAATCATTCCAAGAAACTACTGTACCTCGAGCAAAAGGGATCGATTATATTGTATTCGTGACTCGAAATCATAAAACGGTTTTTCGAAAATAATTTCCCATTGTATCTCCTGGAAGAATGCATAAAAACGAGATTCGGCCAACAATCTCGAACATCACTCACAAAGGCAGCTGTCAATTAGAGCCACGCACACTGAGAAAAAAAGGCTTATTATGTAGGTATAGTCGGCCATGGGAAACCAAGGTCGATATTCGGATTGAATAATTTCCTAATAATTCATTGGAATTCGTATGTGCTGTGTAAATTTTTCGACGATCAAGAATCACAAGAGAATTTAGGTTTTGACAAAAAAATACATTTCGGGCGTTTTATTTCATCTGGGTGACGTGCTATAAAGAAGTTGTTTTTATGTGTTGAAAAGTTTTCAGTAGACTATTACGAAATTGTTCAGAAGTTTCATAGAATTTTATGAAATTACATATTAAATCCAAATTCTGAGTATGAAAATGGTAAGTTGTCAGTTTATGAAAATATCCTATATATGGCTCACTTTTCTTTCTCAACTTCCACCATGGATGAGAGTGTCAAGAGACAAAAACGAAGAAAACTTGGCAATTTTTGATCAGATATTGGCAGAAAAGAACAAGATTTAATGCCGCGGTTAACGTTTCTTAGCCGAGGCGTAGCTGAGGATAGGAAACCAGCCAAGGCATTGAATCTTATTTTCTGCCATGTGAAACATATAATTTCTTTTCCAAATTCGTTCCAATTTCACGCAAAGTGCAAATAATCCATCATTTTATGTTCCCAAGGTCATTGACAATTTTCAACTACACACAGTTTTACCACTAAACAAACCGATTATTTTACGCCTCGAAACGTGTTTCGCTAACTATGTTAGCATCTTCAGGAGAAGATTGAAACTGAATGTTCTATCCTAGTGTGCTACTTATATTCTAGGTATATGTCCACCCAACCGTGAAAGACACTAACCGCCAAGTTAATGTTGGTCATGGTTGAGTTCAAATGTTAACTTTGGTCTTATATCACTAAAAGTGCATCCCAGAAACTTGGTTTCTGTTTCGGGCCAGGAGCTATTTCACTTCCAGTCAGCTGCTCATGATCTATAAGGCACAGATACGACCTGTCCTGGAATACTGTTTCCATATTTGGAGCGCAGCACACAAACATACCCTGAAACTGTTGGATTCTGTCCAAAAAAGGGCAATTCGTCTCGTGGGTGATGCTTCGCTCACAAACTCATTCACTTCTCTGGGACACCGTAGAAAAGTTGGCGATCTGCCTCTATTTTATAGATTTTTTCAACAATTGTTCCTCCCTTGGCAGTCCCCGCGAGATTAACCCGTCGAGTTGAGGCTTCGCACCCCTTCGTGGTCACTTTGGAGACCTGCAGAACATCTCTTTCCAAAGACTCGTTCATCCAACGAACATCGAGGCTCTGGAACACATTGCCAAGGAAGGTGTTCTCCGAGGCATATAAC